CATTAACTTAATTGTTAATCTAAGTAAGAATGAAATCAAGAGTATTATTAAGAAAAGACTGAAGGAAAGGTGGCAAAAACAATGGGGTCAGGAGAAGAAAGGTCGGTGGTTTTACAGAATTAAAGGAAAGTGGGAGAGATGAGATTTGGACACACAAGATTAAATAGTGCACTTTAGGATTTTGAATTTTGTGGACAAGAAGAAACAGTGGAACATGTTATATTGTACTGTCAGAAATGAGACTGAAAGAAGGATGCTAATGCAAAATTTAAAAAAAATAAAAATGCAGTTTATACCGAGATATATTTTACAAAATAACTCAAGGAATGAATGCTACAGTTTTATTTTTCAGTTCCTTAAAATAACTAATTTGTGGGAGAGAATTAAAAAAATAAAATAATAAAAAAGGGGGAAGGAAGTAAGTCACTTTGATCCACACTCCACACCAGTAGGTGGCGGAAATACACCATTTTGTTGTTTGCCAACCGCCAATAAAACACCAAAAGAAGAAGAAGAAGAAAAAGAAGAAGAATCCGTCTAGAAGCCACACTAAAAAAAAGTAGGCTAACTGTCCACACGAAACTGGTTATGATTTTAGGTTAGAGGAACTTATCATGTCCAATGACGAGAAGCGATATGATGGATCTGAGACTGACATTAAATTCGTGAAAAGGTGCTGCGATATTGGTAAGTTTGTTATAATAAGTTTAGTTTTTTCTAAACCTTCCAAACACAATCTCGATGTATCGCTAATTTGGGCCTGAATGTCTCACTTTTCATTCTCGCATAGTTTTAGGCTGATAATATTTATTTTGAGCTTTCTCGGAGTAGTAAACAGCTATTTTATGAACTGCTGGGCTTTTTTAGCGCGGTACAGTTAGCTTTAGGTTCGATGTTCGCCGGACTTTAGCTTTCGCGTGCCTCTGTTCTATCGAGTCAACAGTCCTACAAAGATATCTACCACGATTAGTTTTAACAATATGCAACAACTTTATATCGAGATGAAAATATTATTTAAAAACCGCCTAAGTGTATTGCAGCAGCAAATTTAAACCGGAGAAAGCTCAGACGTGCTATAGCGACGCTTGAAGCGTAAGGGACCGTCGGACAATTCCACCGACTGGGTTTAAAACGTACAATGTATTTTAATTTAAAGCGACTTTTAACATTTTAAACAAAACATTGCCAAACTGTAAAGCGTGTATTACTCATAGTGATTTACTACAGGTGGGATTGTGCAAATAGTGTTTCCCACAGGATTTTGTGAGACTGTGGTGGGTGGTCCTCGATCCCTCAAGGGGGGTCCTGGGGCATGCCCCCCCAGGAGAAAATGTTGTACATTTTAAAGTTAAATTCATAAATCTGATGCGCTTTGAGAGGCAAAGTTAAGATCTCCAACACAGGCGCAGTGTGCAAACTAAAAGAAAAAAACTGGTAAATGTACTTGTTCTTGAAATTTAAAGGGGACTCAACCCTCTTTTTAGTTGTGATATAGTGTCTCAGTCTCACTGGTGAATTTGGAAGCCAAACATATTGCAATACTTTTGTCCTAATTTCTACACTTGCAAGCAGGGCCTAAAACTAACTTTCACATCTGCCAGTGGCCGGTGACTTGAGAGAATTTATGAGCCGCTTTTCGACTGTCGCGCCGGTTCGAGTCAGTGCTTTAAACAGGCCGGGGCGGGGCTAATAGCCTCGGACCTGTAGCACCGAGCCCAAAATCACGCTGTGTTTCCACCGTCAGGGCCTGAAGCTCCGCTGCGGTTCACTAAAACCCGCCCTTTACACGCCTCTAAACAACATCACGCAACCCCATCATTTCACCAACAAAGAGAAGTTATCAGAAAACTAATAAGAAATAAGTCACTGGAACTAACGCGATCACAAAACAAATGTGATAAAAGTGGCCGTTGTGTCATTTCTGTGTCTGTTACATGGTCACGCTCTTTGTATCGCGCACAGCGGAGTTCCGCCCCGATACACACACACACACACACACACACGGGGCGGGGCTAATAGCCTCGGACCTGTAGCACCGAGCCCAAAATCACGCTGTGTTTCCACCGTCAGGGCCTGAAGCTCCGCTGCGGTTCACTAAAACCCGCCCTTTACACGCCTCTAAACAACATCACGCAACCCCATCATTTCACCAACAAAGAGAAGTTATCAGAAAACTAATAAGAAATAAGTCACTGGAACTAACGCGATCACAAAACAAATGTGATAAAAGTGGCCGTTGTGTCATTTCTGTGTCTGTTACATGGTCACGCTCTTTGTATCGCGCACAGCGGAGTTCCGCCCCGATACACACACACACACACACACACACACGCGCGCGCGCACTTCCACTCCCACTAGTATTTGTAAATATTAAGCCACAAAACGACTTATTTAAATATGAATTCTGTGTATCTCTTTGTTAATGAATGGCGCAGACGCACGGTTTTGTTTACTACTCGTACTGAAGCACGCGTGACGCTTGTGGTGATTTTAGTGTCTGCCTTCTCACTAAATAAATCACATAAATACATGAACAACATCTCCAGAACTGCTCTGAGAGTCACTCACTTCATGAGCATTTGACGGTTTTATCTGAGTAAAGCTATCCTCATATCATATATACACAGAAGTGTAAAGGTATTCAGGGCAACCCGTCAAAATAAAAGTCCGGTTTAACTTGAAGAAATTGCGGCAGAAATATTGTTGAGTAGAATGTACGTAATAGGCTGCTACTACTACTACTACAATTATTAAAACCTTATTTTTAAGGAATAATCATACAATATTTCTTCAATGTTTTAATTGTAATATTAAATGACCTTTTATTTTCCAAAAAAATAAAATGTTTAATTTTCATTACTTAAAAGATAGATTAAATGAATGTTTTATGCCTTAAAAATTATAAATACACAACACAGAATGTCTGAGCAAAAAAATCATAAGGCTATTGTAAGAATAAATTAAACTTGTTTTTATGTTTTCAAATAATTAGACATGCTAAAACAGAATTTGGTAACAGTAAAACATGAGGTTGGAAAAAATAAAACATTTCATAGGGCCCTAAACATGTCATTTTTGTTAAACTGAACAAAACAAAATAAGCGATAAAACGGTATCAATATTTATCGATGGTACACCTTCTTCGATATCGATATATAAAAAATGTTCGATATAGGCACGTGCTATGAGTGACGCAGACTGCACACACAAACACGAACATATGCTGAAATGAGTGCTGTGCCTGCCTGTGATGAGGATATTGTGAATAAAGAATGAATATTAGTCGAATTTAAAATTGCATTTGAATGTTAGGTGTGCATCAGGGAGCGTCATCAGTGGCACGCCAGATGCGGTGATGTAAGTGACATTGTTGCATTTTAACGTTTTGTTAGTCTAGCCCACGAGACGCGCCGCTGCTGCGTTATTCATTCAAAATATTAGAGAAATATAGAAGCTCAATGCGGAGAAGATCTTGATAAAGGTTAAAACCGAAACAACAAATTCACACAGATGCATATTCAGCGCATTGTTTAGACCGACAGACAGCTGCACTCGCGTCTCACAGAAGAGATGTATAGAAAGCCATGCAAAGTTAAAACAGTTGAAACTTTTAGAAAAAGGAGGGAAACTTTTTCCCTCCTTTCTTCCTAAAGGCTCCTTGGAGATTGCTATCCATGCTCTTATTACCTCTCGCCTGGATTATTGCAATTCCCTCTATTTTGGTATATCTAAGTCCCAAACGGCATGCTTACAGGTCGTTCAAAATGCTGCGGCGAGATTCCTGAAGGGAAAGAGGAAATTTGGTCACGCTACCCCTTTCTGAGATCACTTCACTGGCTTCTGATTAATTTTAGAATTGAGATTAACATTTTTTTACTGGTATATAAATCATTAAATGATTTAGCACCTTCCTATTTGTCCGATCTACTTCACCCCTACTCTCCCACCAGAGGCTTTAGATTCAACTATAAACTCCTCCTTCAGATACCCAAAACCCGGCTAAAATCGAGGGGTAACCGAGCCTTTGAAGTGGCCAGCTCGAGACTGTGGAACAAGCTCCCTCTCTATATTAGATCGACTTCCACTTTGTCTGAGTTCAAGTCATGTCTCAAAACAGATTTATTCTGTTGATTTTAGTTTATAAGAGTGTTCTGTTTTTACTGTTTTGGTGCTAGTGCTGGGCGGTATACCGGTTCATACCGAATACCGGTGTTTATTTTTGTTATGATATGAATTTTTTAAATACCGCAATACCGGTGTATGTCGCTTAAACAACGTTGGGAACACGCCACTGTTTGAAAGAAGTCTGTTTTCACTGTTGCACTGTGGTGAGGGAACAGCTGTATGTGTTACTAAGCGTGAAAGTTCAGAAACTGAAGCTGTAGAACTAATAGAACGTGATGACACAGAAGAACTCATCCACAATATCCACACTGACCGCCACAAATTAGGGGTCGACCGATTATCGGCCTTATTTGTTGGTAGCATAATCTGATAGGTAGCATTATTTGTCAGAACCCCAGCACACCAAACATCCTCCCCGCCACGGCTGCAGCTTCTCACTGACAACACAATGCCACTCGCATCATTCACAGTCGGGTTATTAGCAGAGAACACAGTGCAGGACTTGAATTTCAGGCACAGGATTGCGGCTATTAATAATAATTATACTCATTCCCGCCTGTTCCTTCATTTGCACGTGCTTTTGAGTCTCGAGAACTCTCATTTTCTGTGTGCCCACAGATCGCGATAAGGAGAGTGACAGATTTTAATAATTATTAATATTGATTTAATATAACAGTTCAATGAACAAGTACTGCCTGATTTTCATCAACGAAAATAGTTCCAAATAAAGTAACAGCTCAGCCGCTGCGCATCTCTAAAAGCAAACACAGCGGTGTTTCATTCATGAATGAGTGCCTTTCTGAACGAATCTAGTGAGTCAGTGATTCATGATTACCCGTTCATAAAGACAGTCACTTGCTTCATTCCTGAATGAATCAGCCGTTCGAACGAATCAATTGAATTAATGATTCAGTGATAAAATCAGTGACTTGCCGCCACCTGCTGGTGATTTCATTTCATGATTGGTAACTTATTTGTCTTATTCTACTTATTATATTGTTTTACATAAAAATTTTAAAAAGCTTATAAACACAAATTTTTGAATTTGACAGATGAAAATGATGCCATTGCAAAGATAAAAAGAAAATGCCCCTGTAAATCACTTCACCTCATATTAGGAAGGCTAATTTTTGATTATTGATCAGAAGGTGCTCCTTATTACTAAGATGCGCGTTAAATATCGCATGTGATTTATCGTGCAGCCCTATATTATTGGCAACATTTCAGCTGTAGTAATTCAGTCTGGCCACTAGGAATGTACCTTTGTAACATAAAAACCCTTTTGGTGAATTACAGTAATTGTTTTCTAATAATTATGTACTGTATGTACAGTAAGGGAGATATTAGCAAAGTATTACCTGTAGTAAGTCAGTCTTGTAACTACAAATGTACTACAACCTTTGCAACATGGAAAACCCCATTTTGATGAATTACTGTATTTTCTTTCTAAAAATATTAGTGTACTGTACATACATTAGGCGACGTATTGGTTAAATATTTTCAGTCAGTTTGCCTACAAGGCATCTATGGCTTTGTAAACATAATTTGTATTAATTAGTGGACTTCGTTTTGTACTGAGAGGTAAATTTGCAGACGGTCCCTAAAGCAGCCTAGGCGAATATCCAGCAAATATCAAACCTCAAACTAACTTTACCACGCTTGTATTTTCGCCCCATATAAATTAAGTCAAATATTCACTGAAAAAATAAATAAATAAATTAGCTATGAATGGGCGAAGACCTATTAAAGGTTTTCTATTTATGTATGCCTATTCCCAAAACACAGTTGTGTTTATACGTGACTAAATAAAGAACGAACCTGACAAAAGACTAAACGTTGGCAATGTTTAAGACATATACATTTTTCATCAGATCCATATGATGATGATCCCAATGTTTTAAGAGCTGAATTATCCTGTGGTCACGTCACTGCTCCACAGACACTGACAGACTACTGCAGAATACAGCTGGAGCAGGTAAGTGCACTTTTATTTGACCAGTTTTATCAAAAAGTGCAGAAGGATTCTGGGTGATTATAAGATTTGGTGATTGAGGTTTCTGGACATGTTTTTAATCATAAACATAAGTCATGTTAAGATCTCATCTTATATATCAGACTTAATGAGCTGATTTTAAAACCCAGTATCTGGATTACTTTAATTTAACAAAATAAATCTGTGTTGGTGGCATTTGACATAAGTATGGTCCTATATGTTCAAAATATGTTTCAACCCAATTGCTGTCATTTATTTAGAAGCCATCTTACTATCAATTAAATTTAAAGCTTCATTCAATCTCGATCCAAGAAGTGACTCTGTAGTACAGCATTTAGGAACCTATGGCTTGCGAGCCATATCTGGCTCTTTGACAAAAATCATGTGGCTCTTCAGGTCTCTCATTCTTTACCAACAAATGATAGATAAAAAAGTAGACGCATCACTAGAGATCAGCTTTCTGCAGAAAACCAAGCCAGTTACAATTCCTTTGTTGTACAGCCTACCGAAGTTGAAGGCACAATATGTGTGATTTTTAGATGAAATGTTTCCAACAATGTTTAAATCCAAAGAAATCAGCCAATCATGCCATTGTGTCACTGGTTAATGACATCATATTCGCCTTAACGTCGATTTCAGGTTTTACTTAGTAGAAACCATAACCAAAGACACATTAGTATATGCATTTTATTAGACAAGTGAGCAACTGTTTGTATTCCCTTATTGACAGAAATCTAAGCATTGTTATATAGGCCTAGCTCAACATGTTTAGTCTTGTTATTTGAATCTCCTGTTTTCTTGATTTACCGTGAGTAACATGTTTGTACCTCAGAGACAACGCTACGCTGTGTGCATTTTTATTATGCAATACGTTTTTAATGATTAATTTTACTGTTGAAAAGATACAATGCTATGAATAGGTGCCACACTTTTTGTTTTTAAATACAAAAGGTTAGATTTGTCTCTCACAGTGGAATTGCAACAACTTTCTCAAATATTTGTGGTCACAATTATTAGCCAATTCGATTTTAAAGGACTTTTCTTCATTAATCTCAGTGTGAAACAATTAATAAACAAGAATGTTTAAACAACAAATAGAAAACCAAATACAAAAATAAAATCTTTATGTCCTTAAGTATTCAGTGACCAGTATAGCATACTTCTTTTCATTACTTTCATGAGCCGCCCATTCATAGAATTAGTCATTGTTTTCATTTGTTCTTGATCAGTTGTAGCTGATGCCACCACAGCCTCCCAGATGCTGTTCAAAAATGTGTACTATTTTCTCTCGCTGTAAATGTCACGTTTGAGAAGTGCCCAAAGGTTCTCAATTGAGTTCAAATCAGGTGAGGAAGGGGGCCAGGGCATTATTCTGTCATCTTTGAAGCCTTTTTTGGCAAGTCAATCAGTGGAATACTTGGCTGCATGTGATGTAGCATTGTCATTTATAAAGGTCATGGCCTTTCTGAATGCAGCTGTAAGGGAAACAGGTCAATATTTTAGCTCAAAGGGAATCATTTAAGATTTTAAAGGGAACTCCACCAATAATATGCAAGGGAATTTGGACAGAATCACTGTTTTACAGCTGATCACTGAGACGGCAAGCGATTCAGTGAACGAGCCGTATGACATCAATTCTGCAATGGATATCTATATCCAAAATATAGTGAAAACACTATTAATTAGCACAGTAACAAGATCGGCAGTTTAAGACATTAACTTGTGAGCACAAAACACAAGATACTTCTCTTTTCAGTATAAATAAGGCTTTATTGGATAAATCTAAGACATATAAACTAATCTAACACATGAACACATGCATTCACACAAGTGGCAGAAAGAGAGAAAGTGAGGAAATAATTAGTTTAAGAGAATGAAAATGTGAAATCCTAAGTTTATGGCAATATGTGCAATTGCATAGATCTGAACAACCATCAATCACTTAATTAACCCTCGCATTGAGT